AATTATTGACTTCTTCTCAAACATGTCGAAATTTGCTTCCATCTGTCAGTACCCTGCCAATGGTTTAAATCTTTTTGAATGAATGATCATCGATGTTTTGCAATCTAAACATCTATAAAATACACTGTTGTAAACTGTTTATATCACCACATTGTATACACATACATCTTAAATTGATTAGACATAGAGGGCAGTTTTATATCATATACTGACATGCAAAACACTATCATAGAGAATTATTATTTTTTTACCATATTTCATTAATGGCCATCTTATACAAGCCAATTGAATCAGACGTCCCATGATATCAGTCTCTCACGCTGGACAAATTTCATTTGAACCTCTTTAACCCTGTATTAATGGTGGAAATATATAATAAAGGAAATAGAGAATGAAATTAGTTTTTTGCAGAAATCCCTGGTCGTATTTCCCCAGACGGCAGCATTTTTTCATCATGCTACAGTAACTCGGTTTCTTTCCTGTCTGTAAAGTGATTAATTTAAATGAAAAATATACAAAATCACAATATTGCGGAGTTGGGAGTAGCTTGATATAGCTAATTCACTCACAGTTCACATCTATAAAAAAATGAATATTCCACGGCCATTCCATTCTGTCTGGAAAGTCTGCTATACACAGCTAATGTGTTTTTGGTAATAAGAAAAATCACTCTGTACACATCCCATTTATTCACTGCAATTGCACTCTTCCAGATTGAACTATTCATATGGGTAATTGTTTAATAAAGAAAATAATTAGAAAATGTCTGTAAGACATGCATATCCTCCTACCTATGCATTTAAGTATATTGTTTGATGAGTTTTAGAAGATGTTGAAGGTGACCTTTGGCTCTTTATCCTTGACAGATGCCCTTCTTGTTATTATAAGTTATAGAGCATTTAACACTTAAACAGTTGTCTGAATGTATTTATTGTCAGAAGAAATATAGTTAAGATGAAAGACGAATAGGTTAATGACCATTTGTATTGAGGTTCTCCCGTATGACAATAATTCCGAACATGATTTGAAGGGACAAGGGTAACACTATATACCCCCTAAGATTATTATTATTATTATTATTATTACATTCTTAACAGACTGTCAACACATAAAAGGTCATTAGGGCCATCAAATGGTAAAACACACAGCAATCCAAATGGAAATAACATTAAACAAACCTAAAGGTAAAAGACAAATGTTAAAAATCTTAAATGGGTATGTTAACAAAAAAGATTAAAATGGTACATCATGATAAGTATAGACGTTGGCAGACCACTTCATCTGAAGGCAAGTTATTCACAGGAAAATGAGATAGCAGTACAGGACAATGGAATTTGGTGTCATGTATAAAAAGTACCTCTAATAAAAATGACCAAACCTTCCTTGCATAAAATATCAACCTACTTTTTTTGAAAATAAAAAATGAAAATGAATGATTAAGTAATTTTGTAATTAAAATCACCATATATTTATCACTTGCAATCTGTTCCAGTATGTATTACCATAACAAGCCAAGGAAATATTGATCAACTCTCTACCCCTTGAATCCCCATTTCTGTGGTGAGAAAATATCATACAATCAACAATATTCATGACATAGTCTTGTACAAACATACACCAATAGTCCTTCCTTCCAATCTAACTTCAATTCCCCACCCTCTGGATATTTTCATAAATCTACAAAATGCAGTATTCTTTCATTCATTCTATCTATCATACAATTAATGCAAAGTTGATTTTTTCCTTTCAGTAACAAGTATAAAAAGGATATAGTGATAGGGAAAAAAGGGAGATAATTCTAATGGCATAGATTGAAATGTCTGGTGTGTCATCAGACAGGGTTCAAATGAACAATGTATTCAGGGGCAGCATCTTGATTTAGTTACTGTCGGAATCGTTATCATTAATGATGTCTGGGCGATTTGTTATCAGACAATACCACAATTGTGCTTAGCTGTTTTAATTTCAGGCTGGAGTAAATCTCCTCTCAGCCCGTCTGAGATGTTGCATCTCCTTTCAATGCTCTTTTTCTATAAATAAGCCCAATTTTAAGTTAAAAGTTCATGTCATCTTCTTTTATTTTAATCAATTATTAAACTTGTGATGATCTTTACTGTTAAATAGGTTCTCTTAGTACAAACACATTATGTATACAACTATTATAAAGCAGTTTGTTATGTATTGTTTTAGAGTTACAATCCTTGTAGAGTTGTTTTTCCTTTCTCCAACACATAAGATCCTTTAACGCACTATTCTACAGGTTTCGACAACTCTCAGGGTTAAACCCCTTTTTATCATTACAGGCCAAAACCATAATCAGAAATGGCAGGCAGTGATCTTTTTCATCGCTGTCTGCCCTTCACCTATCTGGCCATCACATTCAAGAGTTATCCTGACACGGACATCACAACCAAGAGTTACCATGACACAGACAGTGATTATGAGCAATACCCTCTAATTTCACGTCATCCATCTTGATTCATGGTCTTGGTGATCAACTTGGCCAAATTAGTCATGGCTTCTGTCGATCCTGATGTTCAGCGTCTGTAGCTGGTCCACTGGTGTTTCCTGGCCCATCAGTACTCCACATTAATACCTTAGTTACAGACCACACACAAAATGTCTACGTTACAATTTTTTTAAAATATTTTTTTCAGGGCACAATCTGATGAAATCACCATTTCTGAGTCATTCCTTTTTCATTGTACTTGCTGATTGTAGTTCTGTTTTGTTTGTTTGACAGTTCAAAGTTGAAAAAAATATCAGACAATGAGACAGTTTGACATTGTTAAATTTTAGTAATCAAATCTGCTTGACAGACAAGCTGACTATGTGAGTCCTTCAGTCATCAAGAATTGACAATTAAGTCAAAAATCTTTTTGACACCTTGACATTGTTGAAGTCATTTGACAAACTGACATTGTAGTTGAAGTCATTTGACAGACTGACATTGTTGTTAGTCATTTGACAAACTGACATTGTAGCTAAAGAAATTTGACAGACTGAAATTATTGTTAAATTCATTTGACAGACTGAAATTATTGTTAATGCCATCTGAAAGACTGACATTGGAGGTAAAATCAATTGACACCCTGACAATTGCAGTCTCTTCATCACCAAATTTTAAGAGTTTCTGAGTTATAACTTTAAGACATGTTGCTGGCTCTGAGTTATAAAACATTTCAACCTACATCAGAAATATATTTACGAGCGTTATTCTGGTTGATAACCGACTCCTAATAACAGGATGTCATTTGGGTATGGCTGCTGTAGCTTGTGTTTTGTTGGTGACTATGTGACAGTACCAGCAGGCAGATGACTAGGAAGCGATGCAGACTAGTCAAGCACTTTGGTCTGGGTATATGTAGTCATTTTTAGACAGACACAGCTAACAGCTATATTTGATTACAACGGTCAATACATCGGGACACTGATGGATGACCACAAGATCTGTACGGACATTACAGAACTAGGGGGACTGACCGAAGATTCCATCGGCACTGACCATTTCCAGTTACTTTTTTTGCAATACTCCTTCAGCTATATTATTAATATTTCACAACAAACATGCTTTGAAAAACTTTAATGAAATGGGGAACACATTGTGTAGATTCTGCAGTTCATGGCTTGTCATATCTCTAACGCAAAAGGATCCGTTTTGTCTGATGTCATGAACCGTCTGGGACGTCTCTATATTCAGTCAGAACCCAGTCTTTTATGGTGTATGACCTGGGATGCCATCTGTAGTCCAGGCCGACAAATAAGAAAATCAAGCAATCTCTTGTGTTGCTGTCTATTGATGCTAACTGGTGATAAAACCAATACATCATAAGTCAATTTCACCAGCAAAGACTGGGAAAATAGCAATTGTGTTCCCATTAGTTAACATTTTAATATACCCTTTTAAGAATGACACAAACAGATCTTTTAATTAATCACAAAAATATCACTGATTCTAGCCAATATTTTGAGGTTGTCAGCCTAAATTCCCCATTTATCTATTGTTATGAGATCTAAGAGGGATCAAACACATAGCTGATGTCTGCAAATCTATAGCTAATTCCCCATTTCCTTTGTAGAGCATTGCTGAACCTTGCCGAGACAACTCTGAGTTGCCAGGCAATGGTGATAGGTAACTCTTCAAGCCTGGAGGTATTAAAATCCTATCAGAACTTGTTGGTGAATGAATGACGAAGGTTTTCATGTGACAGAATCTGTCTAGACAAGGGAATGAATTGCCTTCTGACTCACAAAGCTTATATAATACAAATTTACACAACTCTGGCCAGTATGTCGGGTAATTCTCAACTTTTAGCCCCTGTCGTGGCTGAGGCTGGACTTGGACCCCTATTACAACCTAACTCAATTAATGTCTCCAGTGTCTGACTGGACCAAAGCTCTTTTTCTTGTAGCACATAGATGTTATTTTATCACCTCATGTCCACAGTCCCGGCTAGACAACCCCACACAACCACCGATCAGACTGGGGATCACAACACCTCGTTAGTGAGAGTACTTTGCTGGCTACTATCGAAGTGTCCAGTCATTTGGCTGGTAGCTCTATCCAGCCAAGGGCTGCAATGCTTTTCCTGGACTTTCATCCCCTACGTGTCTGATGAGGTCTTCTAGTCACTTCACGGCCCACACAGCTCTTTAGGAAAAGTGCCATATTGGCTAATTGCTGTTACTGTTACTTACTCAGGATTTTCTCTGCTAAATTTATTTTGTCAGTCTTGAGCAATTTTGTCCCTTCGATGCCTTAACTGATGTATACTATGACATCTGGTATTTGGAGTTCTGTTCACTAGAAGCTTTCCACAGAAGCTTTAGTACTTTTGTCAATACTTTCATTCACACACATCTTACTAACTTCAAAACCAATCTTAAGACATTCACTTGTAAAGTAAAAATATATTATCATGTTTGTTTTTGTTGTATGTGTAAGGTAACTTACATTACATTGAATTCTGAATCTTTAGCTGACTCGCTGATTGGGGTAGAATTGAAGCTTGTGATGCCTTCTCTATCAGAATCTTTACTATGTTAACACTTCTATCCATGGTGATTTAACCTGTAAAGATATAAAAGTCAGTAGACATTAATTAACAATACAAATACACTGTTGTGATCAGACAAGGCTTACCATACCCAAACTCACAATCAAAATACAGAGATACTTAAAGCCTGAATTTGAGGGCTACAATACTTCCCAAACAATATCTAGAAATGAATGTTGTTCATTATATTTTATTGATAACACAGCACAAAGTTCAAGTTACATCATTTTCAATACAAATGGCAATCATTCTGAACATTGTTGTAATCTGATATGGTTATTCATTTGAACTGAAAACTGAGTGCAATTGTCTCCTGTCCAAGTTACAAAAAAATTATAAGGTTTCTAATGAAAGTGTTGATACATATAAAAAGTAAGTAATTGTACATGATCCGTCACTCTGGAGGAAACACAATCTTTTTGCCCCCCTTTACACAACAGCCATAACACAATGTAGGACATGAGAGAAGGATATTGTCTATGCTAGATTCTGTGATACTGGTAAGGAACGAGTCGCCTGTTAGATATTGCGTTACTGGTAAGGAACAAGTCGCCTGTTAGATATTGCGTTACTGGTAAGGAACAAGTCGCCTGTTAGATATTGCGTTACTGGTAAGGAACAAGTCTCTGATTAGATTTCGTGATAATGATAAGGAACAAGTCTCGTTAGATTCTTGGATTCTCAGCCAATGAGAAACTATGGTGGCCATTTTGGATTTTCCTATCCTCACGAAAAACAATACTTATGCAGAACCTCATGTGATAATTTGTATCAAGTTAAAAGTCAATGGCACTTGCTTTTCTTGAGAAGAAGTCTCGGCCAGTCAGAAGCCTTGGTGGCCATATTTGATTTTTTTCGATCCTCGCAAAAACAAATAACATTTGTAAGGTCATCATGATAATCATTTGTACTAGTGTTCAATGTTTCGTAACTCTAGTAGATATGAATAGATTCCAATGGTTACTGGATCAATGTGATATTTCATGCACATAAACCCACATTCCAAATTTAGAGAAAATCTGACTGAAATACTGTGTGAAAAGAGTAGGAAATTATATCTTTAAAGCAATCAAACTCCATAAATCTCGCAAATATTGATGATGACACTGGATATCAAAATCTGATGATTTGAAGCCATATACCAAATTTGGAAAACATCAGACAATGAAGATGCAGGTTATCATGTGGAAAGTAAAATGGTACATCTTCGTCATTTAACGTCCTATAACTCTAGCAAATATTAACAGACTTCATTGGTTATCAAAGCCAGGTGAGGTCTCATGAATATAAAGCCACATATCAAATTCCAAGACAATCCAACAACATGCGCAAGCTGATCACCGTAGGGCACCACCATCTTGATGTGGGGCTCAAGTTAATTGCATGATTGGCATTAAAATACTGATACCATGATGAAAGTGCTTTTCAGTGCTTTTCAACAAGTCCTTTCAGTCATAAATGCTCTTTCAAAATCCTGAAATATTTTACCGGAGTTTCCTCCCCTGAGCCTGGTAACATTCTGTGTTTTAATATACTACTGAAGAGTAACCCTAAATAAAAGGTGGAAGTTACAATTATAAAGGTTCAAAAATTTCTTCTTCTTTTTTCAAAAATGAGAAATATGTGGAATTATACAATTCAGATTAGAAATAAAATGACAAACAAAAAAAGTTTCAATTTGATTTTAGTTTTAACAATCTATACATTATGAAAAACACAGTACGTTGTCATCTACCAGGGTAACCGAGACATATGCAGAAAAGTCTGACTAGTCTCTCTAATTATTGCAAAAGATTGAAAAAATTCTTGAAGCTTTAGCGTCATGTGAATCTAATCAAATAAAAGAAAGATTTCCTTTCTGTTACAGTAAATGTCAATATATCCTTAGGGGGGAAGACTTCAGACAATGATCAATGTTCTTTACACACAATGACACTAAATAAAATTTACTGTGCATTGAATCCTGTTTATTATGAGTGACAAGGGATACCTTAGAATCTAATTTGGTTTAAAACATAAATACCAATGTTTCTAATGACAAAGAATGGCTATCAAAGGGAAGAGTGAATATTATCTGGTAGTCGGTGTGGCTTAATATTATCTAGTAGTCTGTGTGGCTTAATATTATCTGGTAGTCTGTGTGGCTTAATATTATCTGGTAGTCTGTGTGGCTTAATATTATCTAGTAGTCTGTGTGGCTTAATATTATCTGGTAGTCTGTGTGGCTTTACATTATCCGGTAGTCGGTGTGGCTTTACATTATCCGGTAGTCGGTGTGGCTTTACATTATCTGGTAGTCTGTGTGGCTTAATATTATCTAGTAGTCTGTGTGGCTTTACATTATCCGGTAGTCGGTGTGGCTTTACATTATCCGGTAGTCGGTGTGGCTTTACATTATCTGGTAGTCTGTGTGGCTTAATATTATCTAGTAGTCTGTGTGGCTTTACATTATCCGGTAGTCGGTGTGGCTTTACATTATCTGGTAGTCTGTGTGGCTTAATATTATCTAGTAGTCTGTGTGGCTTTACATTATCTGGTATTCCGTGTGGCTTAATATTATCTAGTAGTCTGTGTGGCTTAATATTATCTGGTAGTCTGTGTGGCTTAATATTATCTGGTAGTCTGTGTGGCTTAATATTATCTGGTAGTCTGTGTGGCTTAATATTATCTGGTAGTCTGTGTGGCTTAATATTATCTGGTAGTCTGTGTGGCTTAATATTATCTGGTAGTCTGTGTGGCTTAATATTATCTGGTAGTCTGTGTGGCTTAATATTATCTGGTAGTCTGTGTGGCTTAATATTATCTGGTAGTCTGTGTGGCTTAATATTATCTGGTAGTCTGTGTGGCTTAATATTATCTGGTAGTCTGTGTGGCTTAATATTATCTGGTAGTCTGTGTGGCTTAATATTATCTGGTAGTCTGTGTGGCTTAATATTATCTGGTAGTCTGTGTGGCTTTATATTATCTGGTAGTCTGTGTGGCTTAATATTATCTGGTAGTTGGTGTGGCTTAATATTATCTGGTAGTCTGTGTGGCTTAATATCATCTGGTAGTCGGTGTGGCTTAATATTATCTGGTAGTCTGTGTGGCTTAATATTATCTGGTAGTCGGTATGGCTTAATATTATCTGGTAGTCGGTATGGCTTAATATTATCTGGTAGTCTGTGTGGCTTAATATTATCTGGTAGTTGGTGTGGCTTAATATTATCTGGTAGTCTGTGTGGCTTAATATCATCTGGTAGTCGGTGTGGCTTAATATTATCTGGTAGTCTGTGTGGCTTAATATTATCTGGTAGTCGGTATGGCTTAATATTATCTGGTAGTCTGTGTGGCTTTATATTATCCGGTAGTTTCATCTTTAAGAGAAATAAATATAAATATTGTTCAAGAATTTGTTCTAAAGCTGCTGAGAGTGGAAGTATACAAAAAAAAAATAATATAGAATACTTCATATCACTGCTGAATATAAGTGAATTTTTACTGTAAAAATGTCAGGGTTTGTTTGAGTCAAGTCATCTCTGAAGTAGGGGGTATCTTCACTTTACTGAATAACATACACCCAGTATGTGGAATATTATCCAGAGTATTTCTGGTAAAATGTCTTGACAATGATACTGTTAACCATGACTGACCTTGGCAGAGAGATAACCACATTCATCAGACCTTCATCTTAGATATTAATCTATAACTGTTACAGAGATTATCAACAATCACTGAGACGATTGGGAAAACACACAGGGACTCGATACCTGACAGCTACAGTATGACATCACACAGAGATCTGATACCTTACAGCTACAGTATGACAACACACAGGGACTCGATACCTGACAGCTACAGTATGACATCACAAAGAGATCTGATACCTTACAGCTACAGTATGACAACACACAGAGATCTGATACCTTACAGCTACAGTATGACATCACACAGGGACTCGATACCTTACAGCTACAGTATGACATCACACAGAGATCTGATACCTTACAGCTACAGTATGACAACACACAGGGACTCGATACCTGACAGCTACAGTATGACATCACACAGAGATCTGATACCTTACAGCTACAGTATGACAACACACAGAGATCTGATACCTTACAGCTACAGTATGACATCACACAGAGATCTGATACCTTACAGCTACAGTGTGACATCACACAGAGATCTGATACCTTACAGCTACAGTGTGACATCACACAGAGATCTGATACCTTACAGCTACAGTATGACATCACACAGAGATCTGATACCTTACAGCTACAGTGTGACATCACACAGAGATCTGATACCTTACAGCTACAGTGTGACATCACACAGAGATCTGATACCTTACAGCTACAGTGTGACATCACACAGAGATCTGATACCTTACAGCTACAGTGTGACATCACACAGGGATCTGATACCTTACAGCTACAGTATGACATCACAGAGAGATCTGATACCTTACAGCTACAGTGTGACATCACACAGAGATCTGATACCTTACAGCTACAGTATGACATCACACAGAGATCTGATACCTTACAGCTACAGTATGACATCACATTGGGATGAAGTACTGCATTGCTACAGTATGACAATATAAAGGGACTTGAGGCCTCACAGCTACAGTATGACATCACATTGGGATGAAGTACTACATTGCTACAGTGTGACAACATACAGGGACTTGAGACCTCACAGCTAAAGTGTGACAACATACAGGGATGAAGTACTGCATCGCTACAGTGTGACATCACACAGGGACGCTACAGTGTGACATCACACAGGGACGAAGTACTGCATCACTACAGTGTGACAACACACAGGGACGAAGTACTGCATCGCTACAGTGTGACATCACACAGGGACGAAGTACTGCATCGCTACAGTGTGACATCACACAGGGACGAAGTACTGCATCGCTACAGTGTGACATCACACAGGGACGAAGTACTGCATTGCTACAGTGTGACAATATATAGCGACTAAATACAGTAGATCTACTGTGACATTATACAAGGAC